CATGCACTTATCTATGTGTTGGGCATCATGCCAAGGAAGGTCACAATGTACTTTGGTCCAATCTTCCTCTTCCTAGCTGGAGGAGGCCACTGGGTGGTAACCAAAGGTAGGCATAAGAACTTCTCCAAATGTTCCCCAACCCCATGTGTGATCCTGCAACTTCCCAGATCTTGAAGGACATCATGACAATGCTTTCTTGGGTCTATTGAGAAAACAGTAAAACATCGCCCTAAATATTCCCACCAGTATAATTATAGTGTGGGCACCCAATGGCCTTCTAGATGATGTTGTGCTCAGGTCCTATGATCATCAGATAATGCATGCTTACTGGGGCTACTGGGAGTTGGGTCTTGAACCATCTGCTAGCTACAGGTTCTTCAAAGGTGCTTTTTCAAGAGGCAGGTGGACTTCTGTGTTTTTCTTTGAAGGCATGTCGCTTCTCATCCAAGAAGCTTCTTCAGCTCTGATTGCACCTGTGTTTAACATTCCCCACCATCCAGTCAGAATGGAAGAAGCTTCCTGGATAAGAAGTGACATGTCTTCAAAGAAAAATAAGAAAGCCCAGTTGCTTCTTGAAAAAGCACCTTTGACGAACCTGTAGCTAGTAGATGATTCAACCACCTTTGGGACAACCATGACCTGGATGACTGAGAATTTTCACTGGACATACAGGTTCTTGACTACCATACTAGAGTTCCTCAAAAGTGTATTTTGGCCTTCCCCACAGAATTAATCATATGGTCAAGAGGAAAGAAGCAAAATTTGGTGAGGAAAAGATATATTAACCCTCAGACTACAGGGGTTGGGAAGATACTGGCAAGGCACAACGGCCACCAGTGGGAATGTTGTGGCCTCTCAGCTGATTCCAGCAGCCAAATCAGAGGAGGAAGAGGAAGCATGACAGTCAACATCAGCATCAAGGCAACCTGAGAGCTCCAAGGGGGAGAGGGAATGGAGCTGGTAGATAGAGAGAGAGAGACAGAAGCGGAGCCTGGGCCGTCCGTCAGCCCTCAGAGGCGGAGTCAACAGCTCCCAGGTCTGGAGGTGGCTGGTGAGGAAAAGGAGGAACAACTGGGTCCAATGCCTGATCCTCGGATGCACAGAGGAGAGGAGAGCAGTGGAAATCTATGGGCCGGTCCTCGGGACAGAAGAACCACTGCTGCTAGTGAAGCCCTACTCTAGCTCTGGGGATAAAAGGCAGGGGGCGGAGATGACTAGGTGTGTCAGACAACTATTCACCTCCCTGCCAGACAGACTTGTTAGCCTGCTGTGCAAGAGAGACTTTTTGACAGGGTTGCTGGCATGCCTAATAAATAATCATTGGTTCAACTACAGAGGGTTTGTCTTGTTTGGGAGCTATTCTTCCTCTGAAGTAAAAATCAAATCAACAGCATCTGAAGTAATACATAAATCAGATGCGATCACGGTGGTGTGTCAATTCTACAACCCTTGTGGGTACAGAAGGTGAAAATATAACCATAGAAATATTAAGGTGCTCCAGGTGTAGAACCACTATAACTTCCAACATTGCACCATTGGCTATGCTGGCTAAGGCGACTGAGAACCGTTGTTCAGCGGTATCTGGTGCTGGCAGGGGGTGTTAACAAGTTTAAGTCAGTTTGAGGAGGACACAAGAACCTGTGAACGTCTTAATCATTCCTGCACTTAAATCCCATGTATATTAAAAAAAAAAAATAACTATAATGCTGGCTGGGGAATTCTGGGAGTTGAAGTTCACACATTTTAAATTTGCTAAGGTCAGGAAACACCGCCCTCAATGGATTGAAACGCACTGCATGAACAAACCTGCTTTTAAACCAAAGTGGACCATCATTTGAAGTTATAATCTAGTATCAACGTTAAATATACGAGCTATTTGGTACGTATGAATGCCTCTAAGATTAATTTAGCTGTCTACCTACATACCTTTTTCTTTTTGGGACCCTAAATGCAGAGAGGAGGAAAAAAAAGAAAGAACGGAGAAAATCAGAAAAACACAATAAAATTGTCAAGACAGGGTAGAGGGGTGGAAGTAGTTTGAATTCCATTTTACCGTCAGCCTAAATATCAGTGTTTTCACAAACACAGGTGGGTCTCCCATGCTTAACAACAAACTGAACCCACAGAATGGAACACTGAAAGCCTCAAACTTCTTCTAATGCTTCCCAAAATGGCCTGTCTTGGATTGCAGCTGGTCCTCACTTAACAACCAGCAACTGTTCGAAATTACAGAGCTTTACATGACTTGATTCTGGGGCTCCAACAATCATACTCTCTCCTACAGTCATATGACTGTGATTTTCAACGGGTTTTTTGCCCGATTCTGGCATTTACTTCTAGTTTTTGGCACAAACAAAAAAAACACCAATTGAATAAAATGGGTTCATTTAAAAACAGCCCCCCCCCCCAAAAAAAAAAAACAGTCAAGGGACTGTTTGAGATTCATTACCGGCTGGGAATGAAAACAATTCCCAGCGCTGCAATAAAAAGACTTGTTTTTAAAATAAGCGTGTGCATAATTACGGTCTAGGAAGCCTTGGTCAGAACAGCCTAGCAACAGAAATTCAGGTCCCAATTATGGCTATAAACCGAGGACTCTTTGTGTTATGAAGGCAGAACTCATTTGCAAGGAAAAAGAGCCCAGGTGGATTTTCCACAGGTGAAATGAACGTGGAAGAACAAGGGAGGGCATCCCTTTTATGCTTAGAAAAGCATAAAAAGGACTTGTGGGAGTTTGTGCGAGCTTCATCACTGGAAGCTTTCAAGAAGAGACTGGACTGCCACCTGTCCAAAATGGTGTAAGGTCTGCTTGGATGGAAGGTTGGACTAGATGACCTACAAGGTCCCTTCCAACTGTTAATCTGTATCTGTATCACCTGTGGAATATCCACCTGCTCAATAAAGTCACAGCAGGTTTAACAGGACCAAAGCATAAAGCTTTATTGAGGTTTGACCCAAAGGTGTCATTCTCACCTTCATTTTAGCATCTTCAAGTGGAAATAAAACATTTTTTAGGAAAAAAAGCAGAAAAAAAAGAAAAAAGACATGAAGGTTATAGCCTCATGGGGACAGAGGTGCCAGATTCCCCCCAACTGCAGTGAGTGGCTGCGTTCACACAACCCATTGACCCACTCGCGTGTTTCATCCTCTTTGCGAAGCGTTCGCAAACGAGATGCGGGAGTTGTGATTTGCATATGCATATCGATATGCAAATAAGGGCCCCCTCAGGTGGTGGGGGGAAAGGGCGTCACTCACCATTTTTCAGCAGCACCCCCAACAACCAGGCTGAAAAGTTGTTGACGACCCCTCCCCTCCGTTTCTACGGCAACCAGTCCCCGCCCCTCCACGCGGCGCAACGAGAGTCCCCGCCCCTTGACGCTCCTGACAAGGGGGAATGAATTCCCTCAAGAGGTTAGAAAGCTTTGTTTGTAAAACCATTTCCGGTTCCCAAGTGAACATTGCGGGGGTAAGAACGCCTCAAGCTACCCCACACATCTAATATACAGAAAGAGGATTGCGTGGCGCTTCGGAAGGAAAAGCCGTAAGGATCAGTTGGGAGTTTTTTGGACACTCCGTGCAATGATGGAAGTTTTGCCAATGCGGACGTTGAATCGAATTCGGAAGTGTTACAGGGGTGACAGCTTTCATTTTGTTCTTCCTCTATGATTCCTATCCAGGAATTATTAATGAATTAATTCCCATCGTTGGTATATAAGCCTAAAGTAAGTCTGCGCAGGCGCATTAAGATTTTCCTGGCAGAAAATTTGCTAGGGCGCCTCTCTGTAAAGATTTCGGTTGTTTGAAATTACTGTTTCGTCCGAATTTCGCAGAGACTCTGAGGGTGCTTGCAATGCGTTCGTTGCATTCTTCTATTTTTAATTAGATCCTAATTTGATTAAGGCCAACCAACCTTAATTGTGATTAAAAAAGATTCTGCAGAACTTTTTAGCTGGAATGGTACAAACGTAGAAGTGGGGGGAAACAGGAAAATTATCCTTGCTTCTCTCGCTAAGTCTACCTAACTCTTACTTGACAGCTTTAAGACTTGTGGACTTCAACTCCCAGAATTCCTTCTCCAGTCATGTTAGCTCAGGAATTCTGGGAGTTGAAGTCCACAAGTCTTAAACTTGCCAAATTTGAAGATAAGTGTTAAAGACCGGGAGAAAAGTTGTTGCGTTTTGTGTGTGTGCAGAAGAGATGGGGAAAGTGTGGTTTTCCTAGAGAAATTGGCTTTCTCACGCGCGTTGGGATCAGAAAAATACAATGACGAATGTATTTTTTTTTTCATATTTTCATTCATATTGCAGAGGGATTGCGATTGTCACTTGAAGAAACGAGAACCACAACTTTGAAAAGTAAATCAAGTGGTCCTTTTCCTTGGACAGATTCGGATGGAGGAATTTAAGCCCAAATGCAGACATGCAATACATTTAACCAATATGCCCAATCTATACCAGGGGTCTTCAACCTGGGGAACTTTAAGACTTGTGGACTTCAACTCTCAGAATTCCTCAGCCAGCTTTGCCAACAACTAATTCCCACAACACTGTCAAACTATTTATTAAGACTGTATTACTATTACTCTTGTCATCCTTCCTATTACTTATCTCCTCCCACTTATGACTATAACCATGTTGTTTGTATCTCTACGATTTATATTGTTTTATTTAGTTTCCTAGTATGATTTTGATTGCTTATTTAGTATCCTATGCCTATCACTAAGTATTGTATGTTATGATTCTTGATGAATGTACTTTTATGTACACTACACTTTGTGTGTCCAATCACACTTGGCCAATAAAGAATTCTATTCTACTCTATTCTATATTCTATTCTATTCTATAGTCTATTCTACAGTATATTCTATTTATTCATTCTATTATACTAAACGGGACTCATTCTGAGAGCAGAGTCATTCCTCTTCACTTTCCTATCTCTATCTGCCCCTGCTTGCGAATTTTAGGCAATGCCATTCAGGACATTTGAAGAGACATCTGGCTCCGCCCCTCGAACTCTTGCGCAGGCGCAGCAGCCACCTGACGCCCCAGGATCTTGCAACAGCTGGTCAGGTTGGAATTCTCGGACTGCAGGTAGTGAATTTTAACTCCAAATTTAGTGAAATTGCGAATTACATCCTCACCGGATTTAGGAGCCTCCCAAGACTCCGGGGAGTCGTCTTATTGGTGGGCAGCTTGCAGCTGTAGCCTTCACAGCCCTGTTGATAGATTGGGAGTACTACAACTCCCATCATCCACAAGCCAACCTGGCTAGCCATGCAGGCTGCTGAATAGGAAATCTCTGATTAAAGCCCTAGAAAAATAGCTGGATTCAGTGGTGTGTGTATGCAAGAGCCGGACAGGATGTGGAGCACTCCTTTTTCCCTACAACAATAATTCCCCAAGGTTGGTTGGGGAATCTTGGGAATGGGTCAAATTTCCCCCAGGGAGCTTCTGTGGTTGTGGAGGGACTCGAAGCTGGGTTTGACTGCTCTCAGTTTAGCCTCTTCACCTCTCGTGCACCCTGGTTAGGGCAGGTCGTAACAAACAACTTTTTCCTGTAACATTTAAGGACTTTTCAGACAATTATTTTTATTCCTTGGTTGCTTTTCTCTGCAAATTCCTGCACTCTTGCCTAAGAGGATCCTTTTTATGTGTGGATCTTGACTCCAGTCTTTTATTTCCATCACTGGAGGTTTCCAAGGAGAAACTGGACAGCCATTTGTCCAGATTAGCAATAGCACTTAGACTTATATATTGCTTTACAGTGCTTCACAGTCCCCTCTAAGTGGTTTATAGAGTCAGCCTGTTGCCCCCAACAATCTGGGTCCTCATTTTACCCACCTCAGAAGGATGGAAGGCTGAGTCAATCTTGAGCCTGGTGCGATTCTCTTAACAACTGAGATAAGAAAGGTCGTAAAATGGGACCAAATTTACTGAACACCTATCCTGCTTAGTGATGGAAATTTGGGGCTTAAGGGCTGGTCTTAAGTCAAGGACTATCTGTAATTTAAAAAAGCTGTTCAGATTTCATTGTGCACCTCATTTTAGAATAAAATAGAATTCTTTATTGGGCAGGTGTGATTGGAGACACAAGGAATTTGTCTTTGGTGCATATGCTCTCAATATACATAAAGGAAAAATAAAATACATTCATCCAGAATCATAAGATACAACACTTAGTGATAGTCATAGGTTATTAATAAGCAATCAAACCATACTAGGAAACAAAACAATATAAATTGTAAAGATACAAGCAACATGGTTATATCCATTAGTGAGAAGAGATAAGTTAACTGATTTAAACTGATTGTTCTTCAGGTAAATATGCCAGTCCTCATGAATAAAACGGATATATGTCTCAACTGACAACATGGCCAACCCTCTCAGATACGAAGTACTGAATCTGTATAAAAACGTAAGTTCTGAGGAGTAATTCCAGCTTCTCCCAGTGTGGGGCCTCCAAAAATGTTGGACTTCTATTCCCCAGCCAGATGGGAGTTTATGTCCAGCCATTTGAAGGACACCTGGCTAGGACAGGCAGACTAAACTGGACTTAAATAAGAATTTCTATGAATTGTTGAATGTATAAAGTTAACTGTGAGAGGGATCTCGGAGTCCTAGTGGACAACTATTTAAATATGAACCAGCCGTGTGCTGCAGCTGTCAAAAAAAGCCAACATAGTTCCAGGCTGCATAAACAGAGGGAGAGAATCAAGATCACGGGAAGTGTTAATACCACTTTATAAGGCCTTGGTAAGGCCACACTTGGAATCCTGCATTCAGTTTTGGTCGCCACGATGTAAAAAAGATGTTGAGGTTCTAGAAAGAGTGCAGAGAAGAGCAACGAACATGATGAGGGGACTGGTGACTAAAACATATCAAGAACGGTTGCTGGAATTGGGTAGGTCTACCGTAGTTGAATGAAAGGAAAAACTAGGGGAGACATGATAGCAGTCTTCCAATATCTCAGGGGCTGCCACATAGAAGAGGGAGTCAAACTATTCTCCAAAGTGCCTGAGGGCAGGACAAGAAGCAATGGGTGGAAACCAGGGGTGGGATGTAAATATTTTTACTACCGGTTCTGTGGGTGTGGCTAGGTGAGTGTGGCCATGTGACTGGGTGGGCATGGCTTTTTTTTCAGCACCCCTTCCCCTCCATTTTTTTTTTTTTTTGTCTTCTGGGGCTCGGGGAAGCCTCCTGGGCGAAGAAGTAAGACAGCGAGGGGGATCCCAGCACAGCTGATCATCGAAACAGCTGATCTTTGGGAGGAAAAAAAGAAAGAAAGAAATATCGGTTAAGCCGAACTTGTAGCTGTTTTTTTACTACCGGTTCAGCCGAATAGTAACATTTTTTACCACCGGTTTGCTCGAACCGGGCCGAACCAGTAGAATACCACCACTGGTGGAAACTAATCAAGGAAAGAACCAACCTCGAACTATGCAGGAATCTGACAGTGAGAACAATTAACCAGTGGAATGACTTGTAAATGCTCCAACATTGGAAGTTTTTAAGAAGAGATTGTATAACCATTTGTCTGAAATGGTATAGGGGTTCCTGCCTAAGCAGGAGGTTGGACTAGAAGACCTCCAAGGTCCCTTCCAAGTCTGCTATTCTGTTCTGTTTTATTCTATTTCTATTCTAATTCTATTCTCAATGTTTTCTTGTGTTTTGAAGCTTTTGTATCTGGGAAAGGAATACCCCAAAGGGGCTGACTATTTTCGAACCCGACTCAAGAAAGCCTTCCTGAAAAACAAGGAAGTGAAGGATCCAGAAGAAATTAAAAAACTGATTGCCAGAGGCAGATTTGTCATCAAAGAACTTGAAGCCTTGTACTTCCTCCGAAAATACAGAGCTCTGAAACAACGATACTACGAGGACAGTTGAACTCCAAGCCATTGTGCAGTCTGCAAGGTGTGTGTATCCCAGGGGTTAAATGGTGGGCGATCGGCCTGCAATGGTAATAATAAAATCTGTTGAATGATTGTGTTTGTTCCTTCGTTCTGCAGAAATCAGGGGTTGAGAGCAAAGACAGACCATCAGGATGGGTGATGGCTATTAATTGAGATAGATTTGAAAGTATTAAAAATTAGATAGATTTAAAGTTAGATTTAAGACTGGAGAACTAATAGTCCTTCATGGAAGTTAATTCTCCCAGCATCATAGCTCATTTTCCATGCCAGCTGTTGGGTGTAATTGGATGAAGGCCATCGTTGTCTGATGTGAACATCTTGTAAGCTTTCTGCTTGGTCTATATGCTACAGTCATAGCTCAATCCAGCCTTGGGGTTTTGGTTTTAATTGTTTTTAATTAGAATTCTTCAGGAACTAGTCAGTGATATTCTCCAATTTGTGTCATCCAACCACAGAGTTGGTAGAAGGGTCTATAAAGACTTATTAAAGTCTGAATCTGACCCATCACTAAAATAACTCAGGACTCTCAGCTGCTAACAATTAACACACACATCCCAAAATTAAGCCAATGTCATCTACCCACTTCTTTTGTGAAGCTGTAAGTTAATTAAACCTGCTGGGTTATCATTTTATCTTAATATGTAACAGTAACCCTGTTTTCTTTTCACTTTCTCTTTTTATTTTCTACACCTTTCCTTTGGTTAACAAAATGCTTCCTCTACATCAAGAGTTATTCAAACACTTGGCAACTTTTTAAGATGTGTGGACTTCAACTCCCAGAATTTGGGGAGCGGGGTGGGTGGGGAGAAGGGAATCAGAAATCAATTTTCCCAAAATCAGTGCGGGAGAGGAGATTTTAATGTAGCGTTTCTCAGCTTCTGTTAACTGTTTTTAACTTCTGTTTTTAAGATGTGTGGACTTCAACTCCCAGGGTTTCCCAGGCAGTTAGAATTCTGGGAGTTGAAGTCCACACATCTTAAAAAGTTGCCAAACTTGAAAAACCCTGGGCTACATAAAGGACATTTGTTGTTGTTGCGGTCCCTTTTTCAATTCCATCCTCACCTTTTGCAGTTTTTTGTCATGCGCTAGGTAGTCCAGGGTCTTCTGTGCAGACTCCACCCTGAGTCACATGACCAGGAAATAGAATTTGGATACAAGTGTCAATAACTTCATGAGCCAAGCTGCCCATAGAGATCATCACCATCTTTTAACAGTGGAATCTGGGCTGCAGCTGAGTGTTTAATGGCTGGATGCCCTTTCTGTCACCAATACGGAGCTGTTTAGCAGATATATTCTCATCGTGCTCAGAGAGAAAAATATCTGCCTTTACCTAGGATTGAACTCACAGCCTCCTGATTGTGAGGTGAGAGCTCCATCTCTAAGCCACCATACCACTCCAGCTTCCCATAGGGGGAAATTTTATCTTCTGACCCTATCCAGCCTAATTTAGATCTTGAACTTTCTTTTGATGGCTCATCCGTCGTGCCAAAATTTATGGTCTGCATCTAATCAGAAACCATTTTTTTTCCAGTTTCATGCAAAAAGTATCCAAGAGGGTTGCTAGTCATCAATAAACCTAAATTGTTTTCTCTCTGATCAAAATTTAGACATCTCAGCAATTTCTGAGAAGTTGCTTCTGAGGACAGAGAAATGGAGAATGATGCACAAACTCGTTTCCTTTTTATTAAGTACGACAGCAGTATTATTGTTGATGTGTAGTTTTCCCAGCACGTGCAGCTAGTAAAACTTTTGCAAAGGTAAGTGGGAGTTGTTCTTCAAACACCAGTGCAAATGTAAAACACAAATGAATCTGCCAAAGTTTGTTACTCGGCTTGCATTTCATCATGCTGGTTTTGGAGATGGAACTGTTCCACTCCCGGTTCGGTGATCGCACGTGTGTGCACACCTAATGCACACGCACCTAACATGTGTCCCCACACCAGCTGAGGCCTGCAGCACCAATCAGCTGAGAGGATAAAGAGAAAAGCGCCTGGCTGGGTGAGAGGGCCGATCCTTCGCTTTTCTCTTCTTTCTCCTCTCAATTGATGGTTGGAGGCTTTTTTCCCCTCCTCAGCTGATCCTCGGAGGCTTTTTTTTTTTACTACCAGTTCGTCAAACCGATAGCAAATTTTGCTACCGGTTTGATTTAACCAGGCCAAACCGGTAGTATACCACCACTGTGGAGATGCTATTTTGCAAACTTGCCCAGAGTTTTCCTTCATATTTTCACACACTGAGAAAGAATGCCTGTTGGTGGCATCCTTAACGCCATTTCAAAACTGCGTGCAACAATGGAGTTAAAACTAAGCACAGGCTAAAGTACAAACTGCATTCAGATCCTGAGTTTCTTGCTAATGCAAACCTGACGCATAGATTTGATGCTCCATTGAGAATAAGGGGTGAAATAGAAAGGGTTCAGAATCTGTTTAATTCAGGGATACTTTAAGTGAGGGGGTGTTAAATTTCCTGCATTAAACATAGAGTCCTTTTTTTTTGGCGGGGGGGGTAAAAAATAAAGTATAAGACATTCATATCAGCTACCTGGAAAACAAAGAAATTTGTATTTTTGTTACAGTGATTTTACATGCATTTAACCGATTAAAGGTTGCCTGCACTTTTAATGTTTTAAGAAACAGCAGCTTAAATGCATCGAGACATCGTAATTCCCAGAATTCATCTCTCTGGTTGCATCAAGATCAGCAAGATGTTGCATGAACTGGAACAATGTGTCACCAGACTAATAAGAATTCAGCACCTGAACACAATCAGATCTGTGGAAATCCTATTTTTACCTGTTCGTGCATCTTTGCAGGGCTGACTAATCAAAACATCATATTGAACAAGCTCGGCCTGTTGTTTCCCAGGGCTTGGGGAGATATAAATCACATTTCTCTTTCTCCTGGTGCCCTATGCTCTTCCATAAGACAGTCTTGGTGGAAGAAGATGCGCTCTTCCAATTTCCTGTATTTTAGAACATTGGAAAGAGCTGTGGATGGAATAGCATCCGAGTCATATGGGAGTTTTCACAGTATATATGATCTTAGGGGTCAGGTGCAGTTAGGCCTTGAGTTGTGACTGGTTGTGGGGTCCTTGGTGCTCTCTGAACTTGGTTTTCTTGCAGACGTTTCATTACCGACCTAGGTAACATCGTCAGTCTTACAAAGGAGTAGGGATATAAGTGGGGATATCTGTTTAGATATAAGTGGCTTGCCTTGCTAGTGTTGGTGGGAGAAAGAGGAATGTTGTTCCCAAGAAGAAAACAACACTCATCAACACTGACAGGAAGAAATCACTTGTATATAAACAGAGCAAATCCCACTTCCTTCTAGCACTGATGATGTTACCTAGTTGGGTAATGAAACATTGCCAAGAAAGCCACTGATCTCAGACAGCACCAAGGACCCCTCATTTCAACCCTGAACTACAAACTCTGTATAATTTAGCAAGCATTCAAAGTTCCGACAACCGGCTCCTACCTTGCAGTCACATGATCACATTTTGGGCATTTAGGAACCAGCCTGCATCTCTGGCCATTTGCTGTGTCCAGCAGTGACCCTGATTTTATATATATGTATTTGGGCCTTTTATATATAAACAGTATATACTGTGTGTGTGTATACACACACACACTATATATATATCCACTGTGAGGAAAAATATATCGAGTGGGACCTCGTTGAAATGTTGCCAAGATGGTCTCAATCTTACATGGGAAAAGACCCGAACACACCAAGACTTGCATACCTGTACCCGGGAAAATCTATGAATATATATGTGTGTGTGTGTGTGTTCTTAAGTTTTCGTGGGTACTTACATGTATGGTATTCAGCTTTGTCCGGGTATTTTCCCACATCATTATAGTTGTGCTTTTAAAGTTGTACCCGAACAAAGCTGAATGCCATATATATATATATATTGAGTATATATATATACAGACGAACTCAATACAGAAGCCTGATGATGGCAGATGAGATTCTGCCAAAACGTTGCTACAACTTTAAAAGTACAACTATGATGATGTGGGAAAATACCCGAACAAAGCTGAATACCATACATGTAAGTACCTGCGAAAACTTAAGAAAATATATATATATATATATACACACACACACAGTTTATATATAAAAGGCCCGGATTTATATATAAAAGGCCCGAATTATGTAATTTGTATTGGGCACAGATGTATAATGATACATAGTGCATGATATCATTGTGACTTCTACCCAATGCCTATGGAGGCAGTTCAGTTTGGGATTTGAAGTGCGTTAATTCTTGCTTTTGACTTACACACCTCTTTTATACTTATCTTTGGCAAGAAACGGTTTTTGTTTGTAGAAAGACTATGGAATCCTTGGTGCTCTCTGAACTTGGTTGTTTACTTGCAGACATTTTGTTACCAGACTAGACAACATCATCAGCGTTAGAAGGGAGTGGGGTTCACTCTCTGTTTACACACAGTATAAGTTAGAGGTTTATATTAAGTAGATTATTCTGTCCATGTTGGAGGAAGTAAGCCTGATCAGGGAACTATTAAGGTGAAAACACTCCCCACCAACACCACCAAGGCAAGCTATTGCATATAAAATGAGAGTAAAGTCCACTCCCTTCTAGTACTGATGATGTAACCTAGATGGGGTCATTAAATGTCTGCAAGTAAACAACCAGGCTCAGAGAGAAGCCAGGATTCCACAGTTCAACCCTGAGCTACAAATATTCTCTTCTTTTGGTAAAGTCTTGTCACATTTCAGGAACATAATTTCAGGAGATGTAGGGGAAAGGAGCGCCAAATGGGACTGAGGTAATCTAAACTTTAGTGGAACATTATAGTCCAGTGGTGGCTAGCCTTTTCGGGCTCCCGTGCTGAAAATTGTGCTTGCACGCCAGCACCCAAAAGGCAATGCACATACCCCCCCCCCCATGCCCCCTGCGCATGTGCGTGATCCCTCCATGCCACCCCCTTACCTGCACTTCGCATGCGTGTGCCTCCCAGCTGATTTTTGAGCCATTTTCGGCCTCCCAGAGGCTCGAGGGAAGCCTCTGCAGCCTTCGGAGGCCAAAAAATGGGCCCGTTT